GTTGCCATTCCCCCCCCCCCCCCCCCCCCCCCTTGGCCTTTCCACACCCCCCTCCCTCCCCCCCCCTTGCCAGGCTGGGCCAGTCAGTGACGAGCTCTAAGCGCCAGGCGGCCGGTTCACGACTCGCTTCATTGGCTAGTGCCCCCTGCAACAGCTCATCACCCACTACGGTCAGCATCGGCCTCTTGATTGGTAGTTCTTTAAGCGCCCGTCATGGTGGAACCCAAACCCATGGGACCCGGGGTGTGCACTGTGGAGAGAAGAACGTTCCCTTGTCTTGCCCAAGATTTGGGGATTTTGGCTCGTTTTAGCTTATTCCGGTCCCTTGTCTGTAATCAATATGGCATCTCTCATTGTCTTGTCGACTTTTGCTTCTCCTCCTCCTCCTCCTCCTCGGCATTGATCCGTCCATTGTGACCATTCTCGCTTCTAAACCATACCACGGGGTCGAGTTGATTCGGGCGCTCGCAGCATCACGGACCTCTTCGCTGCGCTCGTGTCGGCTCCTCACGGCAGACGTCCGGCCACCATGCTGCACTGCGGAGTCAAGCATAATCGACAGAGCTGAAAATATGCTTTTGGCCCAGTAGTGTTTCTGAGCTGAAAAAAAAAGACGAAAAAAAAAAAAACTAACAATAGCTGCATACTCTATTGTCCACTTTCATGATCGGCCTGGGTCCTGCAGGCGCATTGCAGTAGACCCGTAGCTGGCACAAGTGCAAGCACACGCTACCACTGTACAAGTCAACTTACTTGACCTCTCGCCTCGCCAGTGCAGAGCTCCTCAGCTCGCCCTCGATCCCTCGTCGCGCTGTCCATGTGGCCATGTTACTCTCTAGAGAGTTGAGGCTTCGAGACAAGTGCAAAAGAGTCATGCTGCATGCTTGTCTGTTGGTGCAAAGCCGCCAAATAATGTGCCACTGTTTTCGATACACATTCTGCCCATCGATAGCCATATGACGCCTTCCTGGGCTAGTGTCAAGTATCAGTATATATCATACACTCCACTACCAGTGAACCGCTCGAAACAATACCACCCTGCTTCTCCCAGCTCCTGCGTAATTTACGCGGATCATGTGCCTATTCTCGTACTCTCGCTTCTTTTGTAAGATGCTCTGAACTGCAGTAGAAATTGCGCCACATGAGCAGCATGGACCACGATGCAGTGTTCGCTTCATCCTGCCTGCGTAAATCCTCTCTTTCGGCACGTAGTCCCCCCCGAAAGAAACACATTCTAGATCCGGCCGTCACAGTCACCGCCGACTCAAGATGCCGTCGAGTTGATACACCACTGGCGAGTTCTGCCGGCCACAGCTCCTTTAGGCGGGCGGGCGTTGCCCAATTCTTTGCGACGCTGGGAACCGTTCCCTCTTCAGCCCACTTCACGAACTTCTCTGGCGACGGCATTGCAAAGAGCAACCTGGATGCCGGCTGCGGTCAACACGTGGATCCATACTCGTTGCGTCTCACTCAAGCGGTCATTCTCACTCTTGACCTCCACAAACATCACCTCGCCCTTGCGCGCCCCCAAGCCACCATCAGCTGCATCTTTGGTGCGCCATAGAATCAAGTCTGGAATACCGCCACCCCTCTGCTTGTATTCTTGTGCCATGACTTTGCAAATTGCCGCCAGAGCGCCTCCATCAAAGCATCTCACAAGCTCCACCAGGTCATCAATTTCATAGTCCCAGTTGAGTCCCACGACCGCTGTCCGTCGCTCGTGTTCGCGCTCCCACACTGATCGGACAAGGTGCTCGGCGCCGCCATTTTCAATCTCGACAAGCCTGTGGTTGATTTCTGACGCTCTTGTAGGAAAAAACACGTCCGTGTGCAAGTCAAGAGGGCATGTCTGAAAAGCCGTCTGGAACACATTTGGTATATAGAGAAAAAGTATGTCGTAAAAGAGATACGCAAAGAGCGTTCTGACGATGCGACCCTCGGAGTGGAAACCCTTCCACCCCTTGGCACGAAAGTGGCTCAAACACATCTCTTCAACGCTGCACTCACCCTCCGAATCCAGTTCGTCAAGCCAAATGGTTTTGGAAGGAACGCCGATGATGCCCGGCTTGAGTTCCGTCTCTCGCTTGAGCTGAATTCCTTGCACCGTAATTTCCAGAGGCTTCGCCAACTTGACGTGACCAAACTCATGCTGGAGTCGCTTTGGTATGCGCAATTTCTTCTCTAACTTCACGAGTCGCTTCTGTAGGCCAAAGTGGAACGTCAAATGGCAATCAGGATCTTGAAGCGCCATTTCACAAGTGGCAGTCGCCGTTTTGTTCCATTCTTTTTTTCGCCGCTCTAGCTCCGCTGCGGCATATGGCTCACCCAACTTGGCCATGTAATTCTCTTCCAGCAAGGCTTTGCGCTGATACCAATCGCCTCGGCGGGCAAGATGAAACATTTTTTGTCCCAGGAGCTCTTTCAGTAAATCGTGCTCGCGTTGGTATTCTTTAAATTTTCCCATCGCAAAGCCTGCTTTGGCAAGAATGCGCGTGTAAGAATGGCCTGGGTTGAAGCGGCGCAAGTATGCTCCCTCTCCAAACTCATAAACAGTTTGCTCCTTGTGCTTCTCTTCTTCCAGAAGCCTTTTCCAACGAGGGTATATGCTGTCGAAAATTTCAAGAATCCGTTTGCATCCCTTGTCCAAAACCGCCCCACTGCCTTCCAGGCAGAGATCAATTTCTGCTTCCAGCCGAATCGCGGCTTCAAATTCCAAAAGGTGCTCCCGAGATGCAAATATGGTGCTGGTACGACAGACAATGTATTCGGGAAAGTTTCTGCGGGCAATCTTGGCAAGGATAATAGTCGTCAATGACTTTTCGGTCCATTCTGTCGATCGGTAAAACACGAGATGTACCCTCTCGAACAACTTGAACACAACAGACGAAAGTCGGATGCACGGCCCAAGAATCTCTGTCACCTTGGAGAAGAACATATTCTTCTGTTTGGAATCTTCTCTTTCTAGCTTCGCAACTGAGCGGCCCGAATCATCTGAGCCCGTTGATTCGCGACTGTTTTGTCTGCTGAGTCCCATATCCATGAGACCAGTCTGCTTCCGGCTCACTTGCGATAGGCTCCGAATCAATTCAGGTTTCGTTCGCCCTTGCATCTTTGTTTCTTTTGCAAGAGTCTTCAGCTCGTCCAAGTAAAGCAATGACGCTGCCTCTTCCATGTCAGTGAGTAGTGTTTCGGAGGTGTCAGCAAAGGTAAACGTAGACCCGAGCCTCTCATCTTCGACCTCGATTTCATCAACCTCACTAGTAGCAACATCCTGCAATGGGCTACTCGGAAGACATCTGAGCTGCTGCAGTGTAGTAATTGGCACTTCAAGGTTCGAGATATCGTTGTAGTAGCCTAGTCGGGATGATCTGTGCCAAGCAGCCGTCTTTCTTAAAAAAAGCCGCACATACCTGCAACTTGGTCAGCAACGCTTCCATCGATTGTTTCATTCGACGTACAAGTACTGCGCTTCATAATCCAAAGACTTCCATTGGCTGAATACGCTGAGCTCGCGCTTGTCGAAAAGCCTTGATTCATCCTCGAGCACTGTGTCCAGGGCCAGGTTGAAGGCGTCCACATAAATTGAACTTCTGCCCTTAGTCCATAGCGGTTTCTTGTCATCTGGCGCTTCCTCATTGTCGCTTGCTTGGGATAATTTGTATTGTTCGTATGCTTCAAGAGCTGCCTCGTCTGGCTGCGTCACTGGCAAAGCATTTTCAACGTCCGTACTTCTCTTTATTTGGTTTCGGACACCAGCAGACAACCAACCCTTTTCTTCAGTCGACTGCTTTTCGTCATCATCAAGTACAGACTGCTCGTATTCTTCCGAGCCCAAGAAGTTGATTTCCTCCGTCTTCAATCGCTTCAATGGGGGGGCATCTATCTCAGCATCAGAGATTGCATTCGACGACACGTCAGAGCCGGCTCTTGGTGTCAGCTTCTTGACAAATACATCCATTGTGCTTAATGCATGCTGAACAACGGTCTTTTGCTTTTCTCTGCGCGAGAGAATTCTTTGAACTCCGAGTTCGTGTGCAGGGTGGCTGAGACGCGTTCAGCCGTTCTACCTGTTCACGTCCATGCACGCGAAGTCAGGTGATTCCTTAAGTGGCAGTTCGAGCGGCCCCGCCAACGATCGGCGCAAGGAGCTGTCTTAACGAGTGACCCGTCGCGTCCGCCTCGCGAAACCGCCAATTGCCAATTGAACTAGCAATCATGGCCGACGAAATCACTCCGAGCGAACAGGCATCAGACACGGTCGCCCATGCTGCCGTCAACGGGGCTGATACAGCTGCCAACACCTCAACCCTTGACACACCGCATATAGATGTGGTGATGACAGACACAGCAGTTGATCAAGCTGTACGGCATGCCTCCCACTTGACTCTGTCATATTATTGACCGATCGAGACAGTCTCCTGCTCTTGCGAATGCCGCTGCGAGCCCAGCTCCAGCTAGAATCGGCACACCAGCCCAAGCATCTCGTGCTCCCTCGGTCCATCCCGATCCAGGTTTCAGCATACCTTCCGAGGCCGTCCCTCACGGGGACTCGACGCGACGCTATTTGAACACCAAGGTCACCGGCGCTCTTCTCGAGGGAATGAAGATGCTAGCCAAAGAACAGTGCGTCAGGCCGAGAAAGGCTTGCCTCGCGGAACGCTAACACAAACCAGGCCAGACGATCCTTTACGGGTACTTGGTGAATATCTGATACAGAAAGCAAAGGAAATCGAAGGCTCAAATTAGTTTGTAAGTCGATCGTCGAAAAGTCACCGACAAGGTCGATTTATGCATTATCTAGGCGTTATACAGGACATGGGGAAATTCACATTATGATAAGAGTAATTGGGTGTGTAAAATTTTTTATAGTAGTCAAATTGCTATTCATTTGAGCATTTGACTACCTTCATTAGTCCGCTAGGACTGGCGCATAAGCATCATGGCTCTAAATGCAGGTGTATTTTCTTTTCCACAAAATAATTCCCCAACTCCGAACCAACGAAGTCCACAGCGGCGCGGCACGAACTCGACTAGGATCTTCTCCGTTTAAGCGACAATCGTGCTGGCGGTAGCGGACTCGTACTTCCAGGTAGGAGGAAGGACACCGACGGTCTTGTAGTAACGGGCCAGACGGTGGATACGGGACTCGATAAGAATAAGGCGGAACTTGGAGTCCTTGTCCTTGCGGTTGCGCTCGAGGTGCTTGCGGACGGCGACAGCCTGAGAAGAGGATTAGCAAACAATCCGACACTAAAGCGCCAGCAGATAGGCGTCAAGTGCGCCGAGAATCATGACATACCTTCTTGATAAGCATGTACAGGTCCTCAGGAAGCTCGGGAGCGAGGCCTATAATCACTCTGTCAGTCAAAACCGCACAGAGGCATAAGATGTATGATTGTCTTTTCGCGCAAGAGCGAAGAGATCAATCTCATATATATATCCATCACAATGTCGCCATCATGTTCAGGGGTTCGTACCGCTCGACTTGAGAATGCGCAGAATGCGGTTACCTAGAAGCCATCAGAATTAGCATCCGAGTTTCCTCTTTAATCGTAGAGATTGGACATCGTCGCGTCCGTAATTCGTCGCATCCACGTACCAGTGACAAGCTTGACCTGGGAGACACCGTGGGAGTCACGCAGGATGACACCAATCTGCGAAGGGGTAGCACCCTTTCTGGCGAGCTTGCAGATCTGCTCGACGACCTGCTCGGGAGTGGTCTTCAGCCAGCTGGGAGCGACGCGGCTGTAGGGGAGGGCGGAGGCGGAGATACCCTTGCCGTTGCTGTGAAGTCTACCCATGTTTTCGGTGGTTGTCGGTTGTCGTGCGTTGAGGTTGGAGGAGTCGTGATGGAGTTTTCCCGGGCTGGCGCAATGAAGTTTGAGGAGGCGGTTCACGAGCACTAGGCTCGGGTTGTGTGGAGCGGTGCAAATTTTCGCTTAGTTAGGGCAGATTTGTGCGTGGTGCGCCGCCGTCTGAGAGCTAGTCCCTTTTCATATATTATCACGTGATAAATCCAGAGGGTCTTGGCAACCTTAGTTCGCTGCCGTCTGTCTCCGCCAAATTTTCTTGAGCATCGCGTCTCAGTCTTTCACAGCTAGGTAGCCATTGACCTCACTCTTGTCGCGTGAGCATTGGAAAGGCTATCACACGCAGCGCCTTCTCTTAGTCGTAAGTTATCTTCCAGCCTTACACACAACCTCAACCGCTATGAACATGATGATACGAACACTTTGTTTTACTTCTGGTACCTCTTAAGTTAGAGGGCCTTCGGGCTCTCACTGCACTTACTGGACTTCTGATTTCACTCTCTGCCACCCTTCAGAATTACGAACTTTTGAAGGACATTTTGCTAACCTGCAAGGAAGATCTGCTTGTTTATTGAACTCCACGTTTGTAGCGAATCATAACCCGACCGTAAATCACGAACTCGACGCCAACTTAGTATTTCGTCCCCAAGCTCTCCCGACATCATCGCCCATAGTTTCTCAATTTCAAGACGATTCTGACCAACCCCTGTCTTCCCCATTTGCTGTAGTAATCAACAATTGTACAATACATTTTATTTAGACAACAAAGAAATGGCTGAACGTGAACGCAAATGATCACACAGGGGCGAAGCTGAAGCCTAGCGACCTTATCTCCTGTCCGTTCTTCTCAGCCTGCTTTACCAGGCACTAACATCGAAGTTCTCCTACGTAGTTCGTTAGCAAGCCTTTTAAGGAGCGTGAACAAGAATACTCAAAACCTACCTCGGGAAAGTACGTCGTGACAACGGTTCTGTCGGCAAACTTTCTGCCTGCCAGTGCCTTGAGGGCGCTGGTTGTAGCATCTACCGATTCAAACTTGACGAAAATGCGGCCGACACCGGCTGATTGACGGCTTCCACCGGCAGGACGTGGTACCTTGAGATCCAGAATCTTGCCGTACTTGGAGCACTCGTCCCGCACGTCATCGCAGATTTCTGTAACAGTGTTAGTTACCATATGCTAGTCGACGTGCAAGTCGTCGTTATTACCTTCGTAGTCATCATTATCAAGCAGTTCCTCAGCTGTAACCATGTTCAGAAGCTGTAGAACTCTGGTGGCTTCGCCTCCATTTCCTTGACCAGCGAGGTTGCTGATAGCATTAATACCAGCATCAAAGTTGGCCACTTGTGTTCCACCGATGCAAGCCTTGGTGATTTTGAGCGGCTTGCCGCCGACATCCATGCCACTAAGGGCCTTGAGAGCCGCCTCGTTAGCAGAACCAGGCTCGGCATACTCGGCAAATGCGATGCCCTAAGATTTGGTTAGCGTGAATGCACAGACGAAAGGTAGGAAACACAAACTCTTGATTCCTCCGTGGTTCTGTCTTTGACGAGCACAAAGGCTTTGGGCTTGCCGAAGGCTGCGAGTAACTCCAAAACCTGCTCCTCGGTGAGAAACGGTGGCAGGTTTGTAATGGAGAGCTTGTGAATGGTATCAGGTACTGAATCGGACACGACGTCGGGATTATACATGATATCATCTGGTACAGCAGGCATGACATAGTCCTTGGGACGACGGATGCTGAGTCCTGGGCCGTTGGCCTCCATCGAAATTCCGTCAAGAGCAAGTGCAACCGTAGCATCGCTCGTATTTTTGAACTCCAGAACAGCAAAAGACTTATCATTCGAGAGCTGGCTTAGTGCGCAAGGGTCCGTGGCCGAAATGACATTGAGACCATTCAGCTGCAAGTTAAAGAAAGCAACAAGCGCGTCGTCAGTCGTTCCGCTGGGAAGATTGGAAACTAGAAGACGCTTGGCTTGTCGCGAGTTACTGGCCTTTAACCCAGCGCTACTGACTTGGCCGCCGGCAGGTTGGTTCATGAAAGCTTGAAGCTTGGTAGGGTCCATCTGCTGTTGTCGCGGCGCACCAGGCAGAGGGAACATGCCCGACATTTTCGCTTGCTCCGATGTGACAGCCTCATATCCAGGAGGCTTGATATCCCACTGCGTCATGCGGCGCTTCCGCTCCAGAACAGGGATGACATCGGTCAGATCGGGCGTGGGCTCACGGCGCTTGGGAGGGGACGGGCTTCGGCGTTCTTGCTGGCGAGCGAATCCGTCGTCGCGGCGGTCTCTACCCCCACGACGATTCTCATCAAATCCGTCACGATCGCGTCTGCCATGGCCGTCATCATCGCGTCTAGCATCGCGGCGCGAGCTGCCACGATCTCTGTCCCATTCTCTGTCGCCTCGACGGTCGCGGCCTCCCGTATATCGCTCCTCGCGTTCCCTATCTCTATGGTTTCTGCTGGAAGCATATGCATCGCCGTCTCGGTCTCGGTCACGGCGTTGGCGGTGGTCGGGCGATCGTGAGCGTCTTCTGTCTCTGTGTCTGTCTCGTCGGTCGTCGCCGCGATCACGACGGTCACCACGATCGCGGTCGCCTCTGTCGCCACGTTCGCCTCGGTCGCTGCGTGAGGGCTGTTTGCTGTTAGCACAGAGTCGTTCACATGGAGAGGAAGTATGCCTTCATACCTGATGATCTCGTCGGCTGTCGCCTTCCGTCGCAAGCATCTTGTCAGCGTTGGGTCTATTGCACCAGCTAGCGGTCGACTCACCTCTAGACGAATAGTTGTCGCCGTTCATGATGCCAATTTAATCTTGCGCCTGTCAATTACAGGGCGCTTCTCCTAGATTGATAGAGATGGGAGCTCACAAACGGCCTGAGGTTCAAGAAGGTAGAGGCAGAGTTCGCGTCCTGACGGCGTTCCGTCTGTGAAGCTGGAAGCTTTTCTGCTAATGGCGCCAAGCTGTTTCGGGCTTAGACTCTTTCTTGTCCTTTGTGCAGCGAGGAAGAAACGCCGTTCTAAGAACCTGAAAGAGAACAGAACATGTTCAAGATATAGTGAATCATATACTTTATTTACCTCATGTTTTGATTTTTCCTGATTGCTTATTGTATTCATCTTTGGAGTAACTACGTAGTACATATATATACCTATGCTACCTAGGTAGGTTGCCAGTTGCCAGGTACCTACGGACTGGCCTCTGGTGGTCCGCTAAAATCTTGACAGCGCCTGAAGCCCCTGAGCCTCAGCCATAACCCCTGTTGTGTCGCCACCATGTGGCATGGCTTTGGCGGCTGGAGGTCGGCCATCTGCATCGAAGAACTGTACACCTCTTGTCTTGTTCCATTGCGCTTCACAGCGTACCGACTATTCATTGCTGAAAAGACGGCCTGCCTGCTGCTTCAGTTGTATGACTATGGCGATGAAACGCGCGACCGGTTGGCAGAAACTACCCGTCACACTTGCAGAGCTTTGCATAGACACAACTCTGCGGTGTGGCCAATCTTTTAGGTGGCGTAAAATCAACGATGAGTGGTAGTTCTTATCCCTACACTGCACCTTGGTTCCTTTGCATACTAACTACCATAGGACTTGTGCGCTTCATGGCCGCATTCTATCCCTGAAGCAAGATCCCCAGAATGTTCTTTACAGAACAACTTGGCCAAGCCTGCAGACGGGGCTTGCTAGACATCCCGTCATTGAGGCTGATGACACAAAAGATCTGCTGCAGCATTACTTTAGTCTGCACCTTAATCTTGCAGATTTATACGAACAGTGGTCAAAGGCAGACCCCAATTTTGCCAAGAAAGCCCCCGAATTCGCGGGAGTACGGATATTAAGTCAGGATGCTTGGGAGGCCTTGGTAGGCTTCATTTGCAGCAGCAACAACAACATAGCCCGAATCTCTCAAATGGTAAGATGGCTGACTCAGTTTCACCAACTTCTCAAGCTAAAAGCGAAGCTAGGTTCACAAATTGTGCATACACTATGGGCCATTAATAGGATACGTCGGCGATGAGCCCATTCACGATTTTCCCACACCAGAAGCTCTTTCTGGGAGTAAAGTCGAGAGTCACTTGCGGGAGCTCGGGTTCGGATATCGCGCAAAATACATCGCCCAAACTGCACGTGTCATTGCCAAAGAGAAGCCAGCAGGCTGGCTTGAAACACTACGAAATCCGGAATCTGCTATAAAAATCTTCGACAAGGCTGCACCTGGTGATATTCCAACATATAGAGCGGCCCACGAAGAACTTCTTGCTTTGACCGGTGTCGGGCCCAAAGTAGCAGACTGCGTGTGCCTCATGGGGCTCGGCTGGGGAGAATCTGTCCCCGTTGATACCCATGTTTGGCAAATTGCGCAACGGGACTACAAGATGGGAAGGTCTAAAACAAAGACGCTCAACAAAGCCATGTACGATGCGGTCGGCGACCACTTTAGAGGTATCTGGGGAAGTTACGCTGGTTGGGCTCATTCCGTGTTATTCACCGCCGATTTAAAATCTTTCGCTGATCGGCCGCTGAAACGAGAACTAGTCCTTGAGAGCGAAATAACGCCCGAAAACAGAGACTCGAATCAAAGTAGCCAGAAGAGAGTCAAAGCGGAAAACGCCGTTAAGGTGAAGCCAGAACAGGAGGTAGAAGCCGCTGTGGTGGACATGGAATTGCCCGCTAAGAGGAGACGAACGCGGCGCCGGCTCTAATTCCAAGTCATGACGAGCTCATTCGTGGAATGTAGTGAGACTGTATAAATGTATAGATAATCAGAATAATGATCTGTTGTTTTTATCGGTTATTTTTTTTTTCGCCTTCAATTTCTGTAAATTTCCGAATTGCTACAGTGTTCCCGGCCTCTTATCATAAGTTGCGGCGGCAAATCCTCGGAATTGGCCACTAGACGCTCTAGACTTTTTCGCCCCCTCGTGTCAAAGCTACCTGGAAAACTTCAACATCAGCTACCTGTCGCACTGCAACTTACTCATGCGCAACGTCGGCGCCTCGATCGCCCCTTGCACCCTGGAACCGGGATGAAGCTGGAATTATATTGATTCAAGATGTCTGACGCGGATTTCGAGACGATCAAAAAGCTCCAACAGGAGCGCAATGCTGCTTCTGCCGCAAAGAAGGGAACGCGTTCCTCTACCCAGCGGACAGACTCGACCAAGCAAAAGCTGACTGACAGTGCCGACAATGAACTGTATGATAACGATGGCGGCGACAAATTTGCGGGCTATCACACGAGCCTTCCCATGGCCAACGATGACGATGAGATGGACGACGTGGATAACACGCGACGCCTCGTTGGTCAGTATACGGCTTCCAGTGAAATCATCAACGAATTCGCACGAGGTGATGGCGTCGAGGAAGACGATATTCTGGCCGGCAAAGGCGAAAAGAGCGGCCGCATCGTCGACCGTGAAACCGATTACCAAAAGCGCCGCTTCAATCGTGTGCTGACCCCTACCCGCGCGGACCCATTTGCCGAAAACCGACAAGCTGGCGCAGCTGAAAATGGTTCCAATTACCGCGAGATTATGGAAGAGCGCGAAATCGAACGCGAAGAAGAGCGAGTGCGACGCGCAATTCAATCCAAGCAGGAGTCTGGCGACGTTGACAACGATGCGCGGCCGGCTTTGACTGAAGGTGACAAGGAGAACGCCGAGTCTGGCTCCACGGAGGCCGTCGTTGCAGGTCGTAAGCGCAAGAAGAGGTGGGATGTTGGCGAGGACGGCCAAGCCTCGGCTGAGGAGACAGCTAAATTGAAACGCTCCCGCTGGGATCAGGCGCCTGCTGTTGGCGGGCCCCTTGAAGGCGACGTTCCCAAGAAGCGTTCTCGTTGGGACCAAGCTCCCTCTGCGACACCCATGGCCAACGCAGGCCTCGCTACACCTGCTCCTCAATCCCAGTCTGCCATGATGCCTGCGACTTTCGGAAGCGACATTCGCAACTTGGCCATCAGTGACGAGGAGCTGGACCTGCTACTTCCCGGTGAAGGTGAAGGATATAAGATTCTTCAGCCACCGCCAGGATATGAGCCTACCCGCGTTGCCCCCCACAAAATGGTTGCGCCGGTTGAGCAGAGTGGTTTCATGATGCAAGACCCCGACCAGGTCCGTCTCGGAGGCAAGCCAATGCCCGCCGAAATTCCAGGCGTAGGAGATTTGCAGTTCTTCAAGGCCGAAGATATGGCATATTTTGGCAAGCTAACGGATGGCTCCGACGAGAACTCGCTATCGGTTGAGCAGTTGAAGGAGAGAAAGATAATGCGCCTGCTGCTCAAGATCAAGAACGGTACACCACCTATGCGAAAGACAGCTCTGCGGCAAATCACAGACAATGCGAGAAATTTTGGTGCTGGTGCTCTTTTCGATCAGATCCTCCCCCTCCTTATGGAAAAGACTCTTGAAGACCAAGAGCGTCATTTACTCGTCAAAGTTATCGACCGCATCCTTTACAAACTTGATGACCTTGTGCGACCATACGTACATAAAATTCTGGTGGTTATCGAGCCACTGCTCATCGATCAGGACTACTACGCCAGAGTTGAGGGTCGGGAGATTATTTCAAACCTATCCAAGGCTGCTGGCTTAGCCACCATGATCAGCACCATGAGACCAGATATTGACCATGTCGACGAATATGTCCGCAACACCACTGCCAGAGCCTTTGCCGTCGTTGCTTCTGCACTTGGTATTCCCGCTCTCCTCCCATTTCTCCGCGCCGTTTGCCGAAGCAAGAAGTCCTGGCAAGCCCGTCACACTGGTGTCAAGATTGTGCAACAAATTCCCATCCTGATGGGATGTGCCGTTCTACCGCACCTCAAGGGACTTGTTGACTGCATTGGACCCAACCTGAATGATGAGCAGACCAAGGTTCGAACAGTGACTAGTCTGGCAATTGCTGCTCTTGCCGAGGCATCGAACCCATATGGTATTGAGAGCTTTGATGATATTTTAAACCCTCTCTGGACCGGTGCGCGCAAGCAGAGAGGTAAGGGTCTGGCTGGTTTTCTCAAGGCTGTCGGATTCATCATTCCTCTCATGGACGAGGAATATGCCAACTATTATACGAGTCAAATCATGGAGATTCTGCTCAGAGAATTCTCCTCGCCCGATGAGGAGATGAAGAAGGTTGTTCTTAAAGTTGTGTCTCAGTGCGCTGCTACCGAAGGTGTTACCGCCGGCTATCTCAAAGAGCATGTTCTGGACGAGTTTTTCAAAAGCTTCTGGGTAAGGCGTATGGCCCTCGATAAGCGCAACTACCGTCAAGTCGTTGAGACAACTGTCGATATTGGCCAGAAGGTTGGTGTCAGTGAGATTCTCGAGAGAATCGTCAACAACCTGAAAGACGAGAGTGAAGCATACAGAAAGATGACGGTGGAGACGGTCGAAAAGATTGTTGCCAGTCTGGGCGCTGCGGATGTTGGAGAGCGACTCGAGGAGCGTTTGATTGACGGTATTCTACACGCGTTCCAGGAACAGAGTGTGGAAGACATTGTCATGCTCAACGGCTTTGGCTCCGTCGTCAATGCTCTCGGTACTCGATGCAAGCCTTACCTCCCCCAGATTGTCAGTACCATTCTTTGGAGACTGAACAATAAGTCGGCCACTGTCCGACAGCAGGCTGCTGACCTCATTTCACGTATTGCCATGGTCATGCAACAATGCGGCGAGGATGCCCTTATGGGTAAGCTCGGCGTTGTGCTTTATGAATACCTCGGTGAGGAGTATCCAGAGGTCCTGGGATCTATTCTTGGCGCTCTGCGCTCCATCGTTACGGTGGTTGGCATCTCGCAAATGCAACCTCCTATCAAGGACTTACTGCCGCGTCTGACCCCTATTTTGCGGAACAGACACGAAAAGGTCCAGGAGAATACCATTGATCTCGTCGGGCGTATCGCTGATCGTGGTCCTGAGAGTGTGAATGCCCGAGAGTGGATGCGCATCTGCTTTGAGCTCTTGGACATGCTCAAGGCTCATAAAAAGGGTATCCGCCGAGCCGCAAACAACACATTCGGCTTTATTGCCAAGGCTATTGGGCCTCAGGACGTCTTGGCGACTCTGCTGAACAACTTGAGAGTCCAGGAACGTCAGTCCCGAGTCAACACGGCTGTCGCCATCGGCATTGTTGCGGAGACCTGCGCACCCTTCACCGTACTTCCTGCTCTGATGAACGAATACCGTGTACCGGAGCTCAATGTGCAGAATGGTGTGCTCAAGTCACTGTCGTTCTTGTTTGAGTACATTGGAGAAATGGCCAAGGATTATGTCTACGCCGTCACACCACTTCTCGAAGACGCCCTGACAGACCGTGATCAGGTCCATCGTCAGACCGCCGCTGCCGTGGTCAAGCACATTGCCCTCGGCGTCATGGGATTGGGATGCGAAGACGCCATGGTTCATCTGCTGAATCTGTTGTACCCCAACCTATTCGAAACCAGTCCGCACGTTATTGACCGAATCATCGAAGCCATTGAAGCCATTCGCATGGCAGCTGGCCCAGGTATTGTGCTCAACTACGTCTGGGCAGGTTTGTTCCACCCAGCGCGCAAGGTGCGCACGCCATACTGGCGCTTGTATAACGATGCCTATGTCCAGGCAGCTGACGCCATGGTGCCGTACTATCCGAACCTGGAGGACGACAAGATTGATCGTCCGGAGCTTGCTATCATTTTGTAGAAGGATATTTACGAAAGAGGAAGAAAAAGCAGGGTCGGCGGTGCCAGGGATGCCAAGATCATCGGGGACGGCATCATTACAACACGTTTCACAGCGCAACACGGGTGAAATATGTATCTCTTTTATTATTTACTCTGTCAATGTACCATATCGGGGAAACAGACATGGGAGCAAAACAAGATTTCATTTCTAGCATAGAGCAAGAAGGAGTCTGGAGGCATCATGCAATATGGGCGTTTGTTACTGCTGAAGCAAAGAGTCTTTACTAGGTAAAATTTTTCTTTTAATGTCATTCTCAAAAAGCATTTTGCGTGAGTGACTTGCATTGATTGACCGGCCCTGGGGGGGAATCATCGCCGGTCTACTAGTAGGCCATCAGCAACCCCTCAATAGTTATGGTGATAAATACGTCCAAGAGAGAGTAGCAAGAATATAGGAAAAAATTAGATATTATACTTGACTTACTAAAATGATCTTATAATAAGAAGAATCATTCAATTTGGGTAGATATTTATCAAGTCTAATCTACGGATTAGTACTCCGTAGTATGACACTGGTGGTCGTGGATCGGCGATGTATTCTTTGTACCCCTTGACCGGTAATGAAGCTGCCAGACAGGAAAAGTTTCAGATGGACAGGCAGGGCATTCCACATCTGCGTCTTGTCCCAGCAGGCAGCCGTGTGGCCCGTGTCGCACCACCGTGCGGTGCGGGCCTCCCGGGTCGCTGGTAGGGGTACCCCAAGGTCAAGCTTTTTTCAAAGAAGACGTCTACAGTGTGAACAGAAATGATGTTCTCGAAAGAGAGACATGAAGATCACTTTCTACCGTGTCTTGGGAGAAGGAGGGAGGGGGGAGTGTAGTGAGTGATTTCCATTGGGTTTTGGAAAGCAACGTCAAGAGCAAAAAAGAAAACTTTGCAAGTGATGGAAAGGAAAAGCTCCCAGCTGATATCTAGTTTTCTCATTTGACTTGTAGTAAACAAAAAATGCACGGAAGAGCTGTCATAAAATAATCTGGCACGGATGTATCGGGTGACTCATCCGGCCTTGGTCTCGAATTCTTCAGCTTGTCAAATAAGCTGTCAGTCTCGGAACGTGATGCGCCAGCCATGTATACTGGGCAAGGCTCCCCTCCCCTTTCACAAGAAGAAGGGCAATATTGCGAAGGGGGGGAAAGCCCCCGGAAAGAGAAGGAGAGGGATAAAAAAGAATGCCGCGATGCCTGACGCCACAACTTTTCTCGCCTTGCGGGGGGAGGGGGGGGGTCAAGGTGAAACACGCATCTATCTGTCTCACGTTTTGGTTTATTCTGCAGGGCCATGGTGAACGAGCTTGGGCTGGGCTGGGCTGGAGAAGAAGGCAAGAAAGAAGAAGGCAAGGGCAGGGAGGCTTTTGCCATCTGCCGTGTGTGTGTGTGTGTGTGTGTGTGTGTGTGTGTGTGTGTAGTAATAA